CCACCAACCATGTGCACAGGAGCAGTGTGTCACTGGGGAAGTGGTCTCGTCATTATGTGTCTGTGGAATGCCTGCCATGTGTCGAGCATTGAGCACAGCACTTCGAGTCTAGCAGGAAAGGAAGTCCACCAAGGGTACAATGACTGCCTCATGCTAGTGCGGGCCTGTAATCTCAGCACTTAGAAGGCTGAGGCAGGAGGATTTCAGCGAGTTTGCAGGTCTAGTCAGTAAATTCCTGGGCTACACAGTGACATCCTGTGTCTTTACTTTTTTCCTGTTCCTGTGATAAAACGTCACGACCAAAAGCAGCTTCTGGAAGAGTTTATCGACATAATACTAAGCAACTGTATGTGGCCTATGGTTTCATTATGACTGGAATGTGGCAGGCATGGCGGCAGGAACAGGAAGCTGGGACCACATCTTTATCAGCAAGCATAAATCGGAGTGTAAACTGGAAGTGGGTGAGGGTTTATACTCTCAGATCCTTCCAGTGACGCACTTCTGCTCTCAAGACTGCACCTCGCCGTAGCCTCTTCAAGCAGCATACCAACCCTGAGGACCAAGTGTTCAAATGCCTGAAACTATGGGGGATATTTCAAACCTCAAACCCTGTCTCAAAATAAATAGATAAATAAATAAATAAAGTCATGCACTCTAGATAGCCAGGTGTTTGGTTTGAGGGCTCTGTGAAGCACGGGCTTTCTCCGGCTGGACCACTGGTGATCCTGGAAGACTCACTCTTGCGGTCTCTAGCTTGGGCATCTTGAGGAAGTTCTATGTTCTAGAGAGGCTGTGTATAAGAAGAGAGAGCACAGGCACTGTATGGACCTTATTCTTTATGTAAAAATGTCAGGTAGACAGAAGAGTTCCATGTTACAGCCAGGTAGGGAAGGTACTTTGCTGCATGGCTGTCCACTTCTTGACAACAAAAGGAATCTACACAGGTATAGCCCAATCTCTAGTCAACCCCTTCCTCAAAAGATGGGACAAAGCCAACGCAGGTAACTTTCTTGAGTCTTCCATTCACTACTAGAGAAAGTGCCTGAATCCGTTGGGCATCAGGATTGGTTTTAATGATCATAGGAAATGTGGAATAAAGACCTTTTAATTCTCAGTCCAACACAGGTTCTTGAGTGTGACAACTAGACTGATAATGTCAACTTGTCACCATGAAGCTACCATGCTGAGGGCAAAGGTCTGACAATCAGACAACAGTGAGGGGGAGGGAAAGGAGCCCCGCCACCACTTTGAAGGTGTGGCCCAAGCTAGGCATGAGGCTATGTGCTTATTAATTCCTGATATGTTTTCCTATCATTTAAGCCAGGCTGTGTTGGCCTTTTTAGCTACTTGCAAACTTGTCAAAAGCCCTGCAGAGGTACACTTTATAACAGGTGACAGGCCAGATCCTTTCTGAACTAGAAGGTTGAATTACAAATAATGTGCTACATTCTACTGAGAAGGAAGAAGAGATTTACTCAGGCCTTCTCATTTCTCTGTAGTCTGGCTTAATCTTGCACTTAGATGAAAAGGCTTACTGAAGTATGATCACCCCATAAACCAGGCCCCTCATTCTTGTGGTCCCAATGCTTGGGAGGTAGACCCAGGAGGGTAAGAAGTTCAAGATAATCCTCCTTGACATGTCAAAGTCAGCATGGGCCACACGAGACCTTATCTCAATACTAATACTCATAAATAAAAATAGGAAACACACATACTGGTTGTAAGGCAAACAGCAAGGACTATTCATGAAAACCCAGAGGATGTCAAGGACACTGCCTCTAAAGCCAGAGGGCAGACTAATATGCATGAAAACCAGCTCTTCTTGTCCCATCTTGGGGCAGCTGGGAGACAGGATGAATACAACCTTTGGATCACTTAGATCTTGGCTCAGTAGCCTTATTATATCCTCTCATTTTGGAGAGTCCCAGAGTCTCTTCAATGTAGTCAGCCTTTCTTATCTTACAATGCAGACCTTGGAGTTCAGACTGAGCATAATATTAAGTGACCATGTGACATTTTATATTCATACAACCTCTGATTTTATTCATTCTTTATAGTGTCCCCACTGACAGAAAGATAGTGAGAGTGTTATTAGACCCATTTTGCTGATGGAAAACGGAATTTCAAAAAGGTTATGGCAAGACTAAGTTTGATTTTTTTTTTTTTTTTTGGTTTTTCGAGACAGGGCTTTTCTGTGTAGCTTTGGAGCCTGTCCTGGAACTCACTCTGTAGACCAGGCTGGCCTTGAACTCACAGAGATCCACCTGCCTCTGCCTCCCGAGTGCTGGGATTAAAGACGTGCGCCCTCGGCGCCTGGCTAAATTTGAATAATAAGACTGAATGTGGGCCTTCTGAGTCAGACTCCAACCATTCCTTTGAGACATTGTCCCGTCACTACACTGGCCCCCTGATAGCATTCATGTAAGGGTTTGTGTATGTGCTTGATGTTCACAAATGTTGGGTCTGAAAGATTTGCTGTCAAATGGAAAGGATGCAGCCTTAGAACTTATGGATGAGACAAACTACTTGTTTAACTGATCTGGGTCCTGGTCTTGTGTGGCCAGCCATGGGTTCTGGAGATGAAGAATGAGACATCAAGTCAGAACTTGGAGCCGCTATCTTAGAAGACAGGTGAGGTCGGGGGACTTTTGCAACCACAAGCTCTATATACAAGGTTGGCTTAAAACTCAAAAGTTCCCTGCCCCATCATCCTCTTGAGCACTTGTCTGCCGACATGGACTACTACCATGGACAAATATGACAACAGGTTTTGTGATTCACCTTTCTAGCCCCGACTCACGCATAGGGCAGTGTGGCGGATGCTGCCTTAGATGGAGGAGGAAAAGGAGGATGGGCTTTGAGAATTCCACTGGGGCAGGGGGGGGGTACATCCAGCCATTGCAGTGCCTTTCCCTGGGAATAAGGAACTCACTGTGGGTTTTGTCTTGCTGAAGGTCATGTCCTTTAGGTTTTTACATGTGCAGGCATGCTGCAGACATACATGCATTGTACAATCCATCACAGCTCTCCCTCATCATTCCTCCGCCTCCACTCTCAACACACCTCTCTCTATCTCTGAAGCATCCCTTCCTAAGGATGCTCTGTTGTCCCGTGTCACACACACCTGCCTAACTGAGCCAGGAAAAGACAGTATGGGAAGGCAAGTCCTCCATCCACAGTGTGTCTGACAGAGATGCCAGTGTTGCAGGAAGGGAATCTCAGTCAGCCACGGTGCGTCACGTGTAATCCTAGCTCTCCAAGGGCAAATCTTGACCTCAAGGCCAGACTAGACTACTTCGGGAAAATATGTCTCAAAAAAGGAAAAAAGTGCCACCCAAACCACACTTTTCAGAAGAGGAAACCGAGGTCCTGTCAAGGCTATGACTTGTGTAATAGCCAACAAAAGACAGTGGTAGGGATGTCACCAGGAAGCTTTAGGCTCCTTTGCCCAGTTTCCTGGGATGTCACATTCCATGACCAAGTTGAATTTGACTGAGGACAAAGTTGAGTTTGACAGAGGTCTGGAAGCCACTGACCCTTTGGTCTACTGTTATCTTCAAGTGCCAGATGGTTGCTCCTGTCTCCTCCTATTCAGCTAGATTCCCGAGGCACTTTCACCTCTGAGCAGACATGCTTAAGCCGGGTTAGTGAGTGGGACACAGAGACAACAGGAGGCTTTAGCCAGCAGAGATCAGTCTGCCTGTAGTGGTTGCAGAGGTGTAAGATGGTACCGTAGGTCTGGAACCTTGAGGAGCAGGAGAAATACTTCTTTCTCAGATAGAGAGACAGCCCAGAACGAAACTGGTAGCTCTCCCCTGTCTGAGTCTCCCAAGTGCTGGGATGACAGGCTGGCTATCTACATCATGTCGTCGCTGCTACGCCCCTCCCCCCTTCCCCCTCCAGGCAGCCCCTCGGCCCCATTGCTGTATTCTGTTCAGGAAGCCTAGAAAAGAATCAAATAGAACTTAAATTCAGGGTCAAGATCAGGAGACAGCGGCAGGGGAGTGTCAGAAACATTCTGTTTCCCCCAGTCTATTAGAGATCCCTTTTCCTCCTCCCCTTAACCTTCAGGCCTGACTGATACTTTCTGGGCCGCACCTCAGGGGGCCTGGTTTTCACAATTCTACCCTCAGTGCACCCTCGGGCAGAAGGTGAAAAAGTGAGCGAACGGCTGCTGGTTTTCACTACTGGGGCTAGAAACTAAGGCTTCAACCTCTACCACTAAGCTTCATCTCCAGCCGCCCCCGCGCGCGCCTCATATTTCCACTTCATATTTTGAGACAAGATCACACACTTCGGTGATTAGACTGGCATTGAACTCATTTTGTGTGCCCCCCAAGCAAGCCTTAAATTTACAGTCCTCCTGTTTCGGCCTCCCAAGCCTCTGGGATTACTGGCTTGCACCACCAGGCCCGGCTTCCGAAGTGGCAAATTTTGAATTGAAATTGTTGAGCAGGGGAGCGGGAGCGCGGCAGCTCTTGGTTCCAGTCTGTAAGCTCAGCAGCGGGGTATAGCAATGCCCTCGTAACCCCTCTAGGCCTCTAGTCTGACCCTTGAACCAAGAAATCCAACCTTTAGCAGCGGCTGGGGCTGAAATACTGGTGAAATTACTGGTATGAGGTAGCAGCAGCAAAGAAGAGACCAGTGCAGAAAACGGGTTAAGAAAATCAGAAGGCGAACAGAATGCAGGTAGTAAAAGCGGGATCCGAGGAGCTAGTGCAAGATGGGGAAGGCATGAGAAAGGGAGAGGAAGGCTGAGCAGACCGGAGCCCCGGAGTGGGGTAGGATGAAGAGAGCGAAGAAACTGGGAAACGGGACGCGCGCGGGCTGTACGCGCCCAGGAACCAGGAGGTCGGAGCAACCCCAGCTGTCAGCCGGGAACAAAGGCCGAGGAGAGAGCAGGACCGGGCGCCGGCAGCACGGGCCAATGAGTGGCTCCGACGCTGGTCCCGCCCCGCCCTGCCCCGCCCCGCCCTGCCCCGCTCAGCCCCGCCCTCGGCTGGGGACCCGGCGCAGAGGCCAGCGCGCCCGAGCAAGCTGGCGGGAGCGGGGTGGCTCCGACAGGGTTCCAGTCCGAAAGTTTCTCTGCCCTTCCGCTGCTCCCGGGAGCGGGACTTGAGCACTGGGTCCAGCAGCTCTACAAGAAAAAGAGACAGGGACACCAGACAAAATACACCAAAAAATCAAAATCTGCAGCCATTTGCAGCTAGTCCCGAGGTGCAGGAGGACAGGCAGGTAAGGTTCGGGTACCCAGGGTCCTGTTCCTCCCCCGCAGAGTGTCTGCAGCCGTGCCCGCGACCCAGACGCTGGGACAGCTGCGCTCCCCGCAGCTTGCCACTCTGGGAGTGCGTCCGCTTGTCTGTCGGTCTTTGTCTGTCTGTGCCTGCGTCTGTCTAGGTGTCTTTGTTTCTGCATGTAACTGTCGGGCGCGGGGTGGGGGGTTCTTCTCCCCTGTCACTGCATGTGTTGCTGATCTGGCCCCAGCCGGGAGGAAACGAGGTGCGGCAGTCAATCATTCTGTCTTTGTCCCTGTCAGACTCGGGGGGCTGGGGGTGTTTCTTCCCAAACCTGAATTTGATCTTGGAGACATGCGTTAGGTGACATGAGTGTGGTGTTGAAGGAATGGGAGGTGAGGAAGTGAGGTCACAGGGACGAGCTCCAGAGAGAGGGTCCAGCGCTTGGGGACTGGCTAGTGAACTTTACCTTGCCGGTGGAACTTTGGTGGTGCATTGTGTCTCTCTGGAAGGTGTAAGAAGGAATGAGCTTGGACGCGCACACACACACACACACACACACACACACACACACACACACACTTCAATTCACTCCTTTTCCTCACTCACCACAGGGGGTCAGATCCCCGCTGCCTAGGCAGCTCCCTCTGCCCTAGTTTAACTCAGTAGCAACAGGCAATCCAAACACCCAGGGCCAGGTGATATTTTCCTTCTTGCTCCAAGTGGAAGAGATTAAACCCTGGGGCATGTGAGTATTCTGCTCGTCCTTGGGTTGCCAGGCCTGGGAAAGCGCTGCAGATCTCTTGGCTTCCGTCCTAACTCACACGGGATGTTTAGGAATCCAAGCACCCATGCCTTCTACCTTCAGCCTTTCTGCATGGTCCTGCTGTTTGGCTCAGAGGTTCTTTAGAGCCCTCACGGGAGGGAGCTTCTCCACCAAAGGGCCCCTGCTCTTTCCTGGAAGCACAGTGCACTTAGAGTCTCAGAGCCCATCCGCAGAGAGATAAGCTGCCTGCGTGCAATTCTTCCTGCATGCAGAACCTGGCTGCTGGAAGGGGCATTTGAGGGTTTGTAACCTGAGCTTCCTTCAAGTTCAAAAACAATTTTCTGCAGGAAGGCAGAGGGAAAACGGAGGTGTTTGCGAGGTGGGCGCTCATGGGTATTAGACTTAGATTTTATAGGGGTAAGAGTGTTCAAGGTTGGCACAGAGCAGAGTGTGGGCAGGAGTCTGCGGGCAGAGAATACACCCTAATCAGGCATGGCCCACACCTTGTATTTATCCAGTCCTTTCTTCTGACTATTTTCTGTGCATCATAGACATTATCTCATTTGTTATCTCCTTTATCCTCACAGCATAACTACCAGGTTAGCGTAAGATACGATTTACTCTGTGTCTGCCTGGGAAGAAACTGAGGCACCAAAAGAGAAGGGTGTAGTTCCTCCAGGTCCCATAGCTAATGAGGTCCAAATGGCGAGCACTCACCCGCTAAAGGTGAGAAGAAAAATACGTGGAAAAAGAAAGAGGAGCATCTTTCTAGGGAGTCTTTATGCAAACTACAGGGCCAGATATTTGCTTTTTCTCAAATATTTTATTTTTAACGTTGTTAATATTTCTAGCAGTCTTGGTGCACCCTGCAAGGCAAATCTGCTTTCACAATTCAGGCTGTGCACTTTCGTGACTGAAGGAGATATTCTTGTCTGTCTTTCTCCCTCCGATGGTTGGCAGGAGTTGAGGTAGAAGAAGTGTGTTGGGCGGAGTGGGCTGGGCGTGCCAATACTCTGAGTGTGAGAGCGCATAATTGCCACGCAGAGTTAGGAAGCCAGATGTCTGCATGTATGGGAGAAGAAGTGGATGGGCTCTAACTGGGTGAAAATGGCCTCTAGTCCTGAACACCCATTTTTATGCCTTTGCACCCGTTTAACATTCATTTCACAAATCCTCGTTGGATGCTCCAAAGTGCAAGGCTCTGGGGCCTGGCAGCGAAGCTTAGGAATGAATGTCACAGGCTGGAACCACGGTTTAGCTGAAAGACCGCGTGCTTGGCATGCACAGGCTCCGGGTTTGAGCCTTAGCACTGCCTAAAACTTCGTGTGATGGCTCAGGTGGTGGAGACTGGAGGAGCAGAAATTCAAGGCCAGCCTTGGCCACATAGGAGGTTCAGGATCAGCCTGGGCTGCCTGAGACAATCTCGAACACAGGAAAGAAAAAACATACAACAGCAAATAAGGTAGTGAGAAATAACCTACTTTAAAACATAGTCAACTCATGTATGAACAATACTGCAGTAAAGTTTAATACCATCTACTGAGTGCCATCAGATCTTACACTGTTACTTTATCCATGGGGATCTGTCACTGTAGGATAGTCTGCCCATCTTTTCCTTGGGTCCAAATCTGAAAGATTACTACAGCTGTTACCACGCAGATCCACATCTTCCCAAGAGCTGCAGAGTTTCTGAGGCACAGGTCATACAGTGAATCCCAGCTCAGGGTGTAGTGTCTGGCTGTTTGCAATAGGCCCTTAGTAAGTGTTTGTTTAGCAGAGTGTTGGGGAGGAGGGCTGTCAGGGGAGCTCCGGTTCCAGTGGTAGACCTCTGCATGGACACCCTTCACTGATCTGGCCCCTCGCTTCCCTTGCTGTTATAAGGCCCTGCCTACACTAGCCTGTTCCATCCCAGGCCTGGTCCTAACAGTTTTTAGAAACAAGGAAACCCTTACTTTACCTACTCAATGTGTTTGTCAGCCCACAAAAGCAGATGTGGCAGGAGAAGATGCTAGACCTGATTTAGACCTGGGGTCTGGAGTTTGTACCTTCAGAGCTTCAGGGCATATGGTTGCAGAACAGATAAGGGGCTTTTAAAAAAACTTTCCAACTAGCTCTTTGAGTTTGCTTTTGGATGGCTCTCCTTGATACTGCAGTTTGGACACCCCAGGGCTTCTCTGAGAGATGGGAACCGCTGCTGTGTTTAGGGAGGTAATTTAGCTGTGCTTTATCCAAGAGTAAGAGTAAATCCACATGTCTTAGCATTGCCACTCATCGTGTCTCATATTATGATGGTCACATATGCTTTCAGGGGCCCATGATCATTTTAATTTTTCTTTGGAATATCATTACTCAAGCTTTAAAACCTGTATTTCACTGTTATTTATTTAAGAAATGTTTTGAGACAGGGTCTCATGTATTTGAGGTGGGTCTGAAATCATTACATAGCTAAGAATGACTTTGAATTTCTGTTCCTTTAATGGTACTTAGATTATAGGCATGTGCCACTACACCCAAATTAAATGCTAGGGAGCAGACCCAGGTCTTCATGCATGTTCTCCTAACTGAGCTATGCTACCAGCCCTCATTCCTCTGTGAGGGGTGCTAGAGAAATGAATGATACCTTTGGAAAGGTGAACTAATGCTTGGAGGCTAAACTTGGTGACGACAACTAGAAAGCGAACCTAGCATTTATGAATTAGTGACAATCACACTGAAAATGGGGGCAAACTATCTTTACCACAGCAGCTGTCTCAAGATGGAAGTGAGCTGGAGATGCGGGAGAGGAGTGGTCAGGAGCTCAGCCTGGAAGATGAACCTAAATGGAGTGTAGAGACTAGGTAGAGCGATTATAGGTGAGGGCAGGAATGCATATTGCCACTGAGAGCTGGAGAAAACCCCCCTGAGAGGAGGCCCCAGGAGTAGGCCCTCCCCTCCGTATGTGGGAGACAGTTGTGTGGCTTGGACTGGCTGAGGGACCCCTGGCAGTAAGACCATAGTACAAACCTGGTACATGAGTTGTCTGGTTGGAGCCCACTCCTTAGGGTGAGATGCCCTGCTCAGTGGCAGTAGGACCGTGGTACAATCCCAGTACATGAGCTAGCTTGTCGGAGCCCACTCCTCATGGTGGGATGCCATGCCCAGCCTTATTGTGGCAGACTATGTTGACTCCTCATGGGAGTCCTTACCTGTGAGGAGGTGTGGACTGGAGGCGGGCTAGAGGGAAGGTGGGGGGGATAAAGGAGGCGAGGGGGGGCGGGAGGAGAGGTGGGAGGGGGAGTTGTGGTTGGAATGTACAAAGAAATTAAAAAAAAATTTTTTAATGGAAAAAAGCCCAGAACCTTCTAGGGAGCCTGCCGCCTCCCTCCTGATGGAAGTGAATGAAAAGTGGGAAGTAACTGTCTCCAATCAGTTTGCAGCTTGGGCCCCAGAATCACTCCTCTAAGAGTTAGGAGAGTGGGCAAGAGACCTTGGCTAAACTCAGGCCTGCCTGGGCTGGCCCCCTGGGCTCCTTAGTTATCTTTGTAGACTGCTGCTTCATCTAGTCCCTGGCTGCCATCTCCTTAGATAGTTCCAGAGCAATGGTGTGGAGTTTGGGAGGTCTTGCCAACCAAGAAGTATACAACCCTCTGGGAAGCAATTTATGTCAAGACTCTTTGAGTTCACTCTTTTTTCTTTAGCTTTTTTGGGGGACAAGATTTTATATAAGCCCCAAGTTGCCTTGAACGGTCTATGGAGCCAAAGATAGCCTTGAAGTTCTGATCCTCCTGGGCCAGGCTCTCACTGCTAGGGTTAGGCTTAGAATCCTGTACCAGTACAGCCCCAGGTTTGCTTTTGAATAGACCCAGACTTCCCCAAACAGCTACTTTTTTTTTTTTTTTTTTTTTTTTTGGCATTGAAACTACCAGGCGCTGGGGGTGCACACCTTTAATCCCAGCACTTGGGAGGCAGAGGCAGGAGGATGTCTGTGAGTTCGAGACCAACCTGGTCTACAGAGGCGAGTTCCAAGACAGGGTCCAAAGCTACACAGGGAAACCCTGTCTTGAAAAACCAAAAACCAAACCAACAAACAAAAAGCTACATTTTAAAAGAGGACTTCCTGTTACTATCATTGATAACCTCTCACTGACCTATGCAAAACCAAGGAACTCACCCAGGATTTTCAACTGAGTATTGAGCCCTAAACCAAACTGACTTGAGTCCTAGTTGCAACATAGTTATGAAGACACTGGGAGTCA